CTTCCCACCCCCGCCTCCCTGCCCTTCCCCCCCTGGGGCCGACCACATGCTTCTGGCCTAGGCCCGTGTCTGGAATAAAGTCCAGAGGGTTTGGCCCACAAACTGGATGCCACCTCCATCTTTGGAGGGCCCTGGGGTGGGAAGGAGGTCTGCTCGGTAGTCTGAAGCCACCCAGTAGCCAGTTGCACACGGAAGGCAGGAGCTGGGGGCATGGTCCAGCCTTGGGCGGGGCAGCATCTTGGATTTGGTCAGTGTGTGCTGGAGCCATGGTGTTCCTGGTGGAGTGGGCCTGTCCGTGTGAAAAGGAGACCTATTGTGTGGGTGTCACACTGCTCACGTGCTCAGCCACCGTTTGTAGGCCAAGTACGACGTGTTAAGATGGGGAGCTCACCTTGCAGATTGTTTCCTGGGCCAGCCAGTGGCCAGGTCCAGAGGGGAGCCCCACAGGGTCTGGGTGGCCACAGGTGTGTGGTGGGAGGGGGCCTGTGGCCTTTGACACAAGAGGAACCAGGGGTCTGCTGGGCCTTGCTTTGTTACCTTTGTTCTGGAAGGGAGGTGAGCTGATGAGGAGGGGCTTGTATGTGAGAGGCACTCACATGGCGGTGTCCTTCGGACCCTTCAACCTGAAAGTCCCTGGGAGATGGATGCTGTCCATGGGGTGCAGGTCTCAACCGGCTCCACCTCTTCCTGAGCTGTCATGACCTGGCAGGCCACTGGCCGGGCCTCCTACAAGGTCCGTGTGCACACTGCTCTTTAGACTGCTTTTGGAAAGTTCCCCCAGCTTTTCACATCTCTCTAGTGCATTGTCTGAGGGGTGATTTCTTTCCTGTGAGTACTTCCAGCCTCCAACTTTGGATGCTTCTTCATAATGCCCTTTTGGTTAGAATCGATCCTCTGGTCCTTCCCTGTGACCCCCAAGCTGTGCAGGGGCTCTTGTCACAACACTGCCAAGTGGGCAGCTCTTTCCTAGGTCACACAGGGCAAAAGTGCCAGGCACTGGAAGCCTGGACATTTTCATAGAGGAATCATGTGCACTCAGACAAGAAGTGCAGGGCCCTGGGGGCTGCTTTTGCTGGTGTTCCAGGTCTTCAAGAATAACAAGAGGTGCTTTTTATTTTATTTTTTGTTATTTTTTTTTTTCAAAAGATGACCGGTAAGGGGATCTTAACCCTTGACTTGGTGTTGTCAGCACCACGCTCACCCAATGAGCGAACCGGCCATCCCTATATGGGATCCGAACCCGAGGCCTTGGTGTTATCAGCACCGCACTCTCCCGAGTGAGCCTCGGGCCGGCCCACAAGAGGTGCTTTTTAAAATACAAGCATGCGGGGCCGGCTGCTTAGCTCAGTTGGAGTGTGGTGCTGATGACACCAAGGTCAGCGGGTCAGATCCCCTTACTGGCCTGCTGCCAAAAACAAAAACAAACAAACAAAAAAAAACACCAGCATGAGAAAGTAGGGCAAATTTAAATTTAAACATGTCACAAACGCTAATCCTAAAGGAAAACAATATATTTATTCACACATATTAATATATAGTTATTTTAAAATTAAGAAATACACTCATGGGGCCGGCCCGGTGGCGCACTGCTACAGTGCGCCACTTGGGAAGTGCGGCGGCGCTCCCGCCGAGGGTTCGGATCCCACATACAGGCCGGTTCCCGCTCACTGGCTGAGCAAGGCGCGGGAGTGACACCGAGGGTTGCAATCCCGTTGCTGGTCCCGGTCCGGTACGGGAGCAACACTGAGGGTTGCGATCCGTTGCCGGACATAGAAAAAGACAAAAAGGGAAAAAAAAAAAAGAGATACACTCATGTAAATATACATCAAGAGGGCAGGAAGTCTGCAGAGCGGGAGCAGGCAAGCACCATGCACAGGTGAGAATGACGCACCTCCAGGCCACCAGGAACACCCACAAATATACAAAAATCAAGTCACGTGACCCAGTAGAAAAATGTTCAAGAAACTAGAATGGGAATTTCACAAAAGAAGTCAAAATAGCATGTACAAAAATTATAAACATATATCCACACCGTATGTATTGTTTCTCAACCTCATTAGTAATGAGGAAAAAGCAAACCACTATGATACACCCCCACTACTCACCAGATCAGCTAAAAATTTAAAGTCAGAGCATCACGAGATGCGCGGATATAGAGAAACAAAGGCTTGAGGGCTGCTGACAGGACCGGTGATCAGTCTGGAAAACAGCTGGGCGTTACCTGGAAGGCGGGACACACACAGACCCTGTCACCAGTAGTTCCATTTGTGATGATCAACACAACAGGAATGGACGCTGAGGTGCATCAGGCCATGTAAACTGAGTGTCGGTGACAGCAGTGTTCAAAATAGTGTCACCTTGACAAAGGAACAGAGGACTAGATGGGGCAAGTCATGCACCAGAACTCTGTTTAGTGATGGACGTGAACTGAGGCCATTCGCAGCGACGGGTGAGCCTGGCACCGCTGCGGGGCAAGGCAACATGCTGCACGGAGCCCTGGCATGAGGCAGGGTGCAGGTGACCGCACATGCAAGGGCTTGGTCAGACACCCATGCCCCCGACGGTGCTATGTAGGTGAAGTTGTTCCGGGTCCTGTGATCTGGGCTTGCTGGAACGTCCCATCCAAACGGAACACGTGGCTGCATCTGGCACCTCCCACCACAGGAGCTGCAGAGAGCCTGGCAGCCCTCTTCAGATTCTGGAACACTGCTCTGACCCATACACCTGGCCGACGCAAGCGGGGCCCTGAGGAGGAGGGCTCTGCAGCAGGGCTCACTGCTGCACGGGCCAGGTGGCCTCAGAGGGAACGAGGCAAGAAGAGAGCTCGGTGCAGCCCATGCCAAGCCTGGCAACTCAGCCTCTTCCCTTCATGTTCTTGCCTAGGCTGTAAGCTGCCCCTAGTCCTGCCCACGGCCACCTCCTACTCCTGTGGTTCCTCTATCCCCCGTGTCATCAGGTCCCTGAGTTAAACTCCGTCTGTTGGAAGCCTGCTTCTGATCGGTGCCTGGGAAGCTATTGTTCTCTCGGATGATAGACTTGCACGAGGTCACCTAGTTGAGGCCACTTATTCATGCAAATGATATCAAAACTCTCTTGGGTTTCCTAACCACATAATCACAGCACTGGCAAGCAATGATGCTTTCTCCTGTCCATTACGAAATATACATCTGTTAGAAGTTAGAGAGATGACTCTCTAAGAAAAAGTTTTATTTGGGAATAGGGGATTGCCATGGGAATAGGGGATTGCCATGGGAATCCACGTGCCATAGTAAACCGTGCTATATTCAGGAGGTAAAGGAGACGAAGCCTTTTTAAAGGCAAAAGAGAAAAGTACACATAATTTGTTTGGAAACAAAGGGAGCGTTAGTTACAATGGGCTTATCGCAAAAGTTGACGTCAGCTCTTTAATGCAGACAGTGTCGGGCAAGTGATCGGTGCGTCTGGCTAGCTGTCCTTGTGACTCACGTAGCAAGCGGCAGTTTGAAAATCTTGGCAAGAGTTCTTGTTATATACACAAGAGAGTCTTTGTAGTACTTTTTTTTCTTTAAGTTTAAATTTATTTATTAATTTTTTTTTTTTTTAATTTTAAATTTTTTTATTAATTTTTTTTTTTTTACATTCTAAGTTGTCGTGGAGCAGTGGGGGGAGGGGGAGAGGGGAGC